ACAAAATTACGATAAAATATAAATATCTGAAACTGAGACGATCAAAGAACAATACAGATTGAACGTATCATGAAAAAAAAATGCTGTTCCACGAGCATCAAAATTAAATTTTAATTTAATTTACTGCGTAAGAATTGATGGCATCGATTTAAACGATTTTCGTTGGGAACAATCATTATGAACGATCAAAATTTGTCTTCGCTACAGTAACCGTTATCGATGAAGAAATTTTATTTTGGTTTCGATAACCGGTTCGAATGACCGGAATTTGTTTTCATTATTACTAATCGTTATCGACGACCAGAATTTATCTTTGTTATTCGTAACCGTTATCGATGGCGAGTAATTCAAACAACGAACATTTAAACCGAAAATTTGTCCCGGATAATCAACCATCGTCAACTCGACCAACTCTAAGTTTATGGATAATTAGTACTTGTTCGACAATAATATAATAATATTATATATAATATAATAATATTAATATATAATATTATAATATAATAATATTAATATATAATATTATATTATAATATAATAATACAATAATATATAATATTATATTATAATATAATAATACAATAATATTAATATATAATATTATATTATAATATAATAATATAATAATATTAATATATAATATTATATTATAATATAATAATATAATAATATAGTGACAAGAATATAACATCGACAATAATCGAAAAAATTTCTCTTACAATGATGTCTAGTATGACGTCTACTATGATGACCACTTTCAACGATTTCTCACCGTGCGTCGTCAAGGTTTTGTCAAAGCGCGGCCACGGGATCCCATCTGCTCATTAGGCGTAAATATTCGGCGAGAATGAAAGCGAATGATGGAAGAAACCAGCCTGTGCCGCCTCTCCCGGGTTTGTTACTTTTACTTTCTCTGTTTCGCACGGAAAGCAAAACGCCGCCGGAGAACGGAAAGGAGTCCGCTTTCCCTATCGTCCTGGCCAGGCCTCGTCGCAGCCGCTCTCAAAATCTTTTATGAGCCGCGCGTGAATGTCACGACTAACACTTTCGATCGTGCCGATGGTGGGACACGTAATGCCCTGGACCGGTCTTCCACACCGGTGCTTTCAACTCGCCACCTAGAAATCAATGTTAATGGGTTCACTGTCGTCTCTCTTTCCTTTTCATCCTTAACGAGTTTAGGAAATCTTTCGGGGTCCCGGTCTCGCGCGGCGATCGTCATCGGCTGTTTTACTATTCGAATAAGCATTTGTCGCATAATTACGAAACGACAATAAAATTAAACAAATAGCTTGTGACTTATTCGATGTCGTCGTTTTGAGAGACTCGCCCCTGTATATCGAAATCTACTCGAGTGTTAATAAAATATACAATATAGTGTAGTATATGTAATTGATATAAATATAATGAATATAATATAATAATAAATATACAATAAAGTGTATTCAATTTATTATAATGAATGCTCTTTGTCATAATAAAAGTATAAAATTATGTAATTATATATAAAAATATATGTATAACGATTTTTATTGCAATAGATGCTTGAACGAAGAAATTTCCCTAAAAATTTGTCATAGAAATATTATAATAGTATAATATAATATAATATAATATAATATAATATAATATAATATAATATAATATAATATAATATAATATAATATAATATA